GCGGGCCTCTCACTGTTGTGGCCTCTCCCGTTGCGGAGCACAGGCTCCGGACACGCAGGCTTAGCGGCCATGGCCCACGGGCCCAGCTGCTCCGCGGTACGTGGGATCCTCCCGGACCGGGGCACGAACCCGTGTCCCCTGCATCGGTAGGCGGACCCTCAACAACTGCACCACCAGGGAAGCCCAGGGCTTTGGTTTTTAAAAATGGTCTTCTCTCTAATTTTTTTTAACATTGTTTTAGAATATATGACACATATGTTTTCTAGGTTTTTAAAAATGTTTGATATTTATCTTGTGGTTTAATATAACATCAGTTGGTGTAAATATTTCATGGGTGCTGGAAAAGATGTAATCTCTCAAGTTACTCTTATCATTACAACATTCAAATTTTTCATTTTTGACAACCCAGTCTATCAAGGACAGAAATATGTCTTAGAGTCCCCTTGCATTTCTAACAGTTTCTGCCTTACATTATTTAGTATACAGTTGGCCCTCCATATCCCTAGGTTCTGCATTCATGGATTCAGCCAACTCTCAACTGAAAATATTCGGGAAAAAAAATCCACAAAGTTCCAAAAAGTAAAGCTTGAACTTGCCAGGTGCTGGCAACTATTTACATAGCATTTAATCGTATTAGGTATTACAAGTAACCCAGAGATGATGTAAAGTGTAGGGGAGGGTGTGTGTAGGTTATATGCAAATACTATGCCATTTTACATAAGGGACTTGAGCATCCCTGGATTTTGGTATCTGCAGGGGTCCTGGGGCCAATCCCACATGGATACCAACGAATGGCTATATAGAAGTTTGTAACAGTTGCAGATTCGTTATAAGTGTGTCCCATACAAAATGATCTTGATTCCATTTATTATTTGCTTTTATTTTGTTAGTGTTAATTCTTTGAAATCTGATTTATTTTTCCTTTGCATTCATTTTATAAATCTTTGACTATATTTTGCATTTTAATATTTTAAGTTGTTTTGTCTTAAGTGTGATCCTTAAAAACCGTATTTAGTTGGGCCCAATATGAGAGATCTTGCCTTTTAGTAGGGGAGTAAAAGTCTTTCCCATTTGTTTAGACTTAAGCCATGTTATTGAATTATCATTCTTTTTTCACGCTTCCTTATCCTTTCCTTTTTCTCGTCTTACTGCTTGCTGTAAACTACAGTGCCTTTCCACTCAGATCTGCAGGTGGAGGGCATGTTGGTGTGCGCAGCTCCCAAGCCCATCCCCACCTTGCCTGAGGCTAATCAACTGGAGGATGGATTGATGGCATTAGGGTGCAGCCCCCACTGGTTCAGCTATAGCAGAGGTGCTCCAGGATCCTTAAGGATGGCCTCTTCTCTCTCATAAAATGATCACAAGAGCTGCTGTTGATTGTCTCCTTTCTCTGTGCCCAGCACCTTGCTAGGTATTTTAATGTACCATCTCAATGAACGGTCACAAAATGGCCCAGTGAATAATAAGCAGGTGCTGAGAGGTTGCCCTGGGTCACATAACTGGAGAGTGGCAGAGCCAGGCCTTGGCCCAGTGGTGTGGCTATAAGCCCTAAGCTCTTTTTTTTATTAATTTATTTTTTTTAATTTTTGGCTGTGTTGGGTCTTTGTTTCTGTGCAAGGGCTTTCTCTAGTTGTGGCAAGCGGGGGCCACTCTTCATCGCGGTGTGCGAGCCTCTCACTATCGCGGCCTCTCTTGTTGTGGAACACAGGCTCCAGATGCACAGGCTCAGTAGTTGTGGCTCATGGGCCTAGTTGCTCCACGGCATGTGGGATCTTCCCAGACCAGGGCTCGAACCTGTGTCCCTTGCATTGGCAGGCAGATTCTCAACCACTGCACCACCAGGGAAGCCCTAAGCCCTAAGCTCTTAACACTGCCCTCTCCTGACACCCTACCTCCACTGTTCAGGTCATTATTTTCCTAGTCCTCCCTTTCAGTTGCCACCTGTATGTCCTCTGCCATTTATGACTTGTGGGTGGCCTCCGTCGGGTGCTACGTGAAGTGAGATGAATTGTCTTAGCTCTTTCTTGTGGCACTCTGTTCTTGGACCACAAACCAGTGCTGTCTTGGGCTTCTGAGAGATTGGTCGGTGGGCCTCAGCCAAGGGCTGACTCAACGAATACCATCTCCCCTTGCTGACCTGTGTCCCTTCTCATCAGACCGAGCGTATACTCCCAGACCCCTCCCCTTCGGATGAGTCCCCTATTCAGGCCTCTGGCCAGATGCCCCT